TCTACTTAGTCCTTACAGGGTCTCAGTCAAAATGACTTGATAGCAGTGAATTGGTTTGTTGGCTTGATTTTTGCAAACATAGATCTCCAAATAGTGTACACAGTTTACATTCAACCTAAAGTTTGAGCCCACCAGCTGTACCGTGGAAAGCAGGCATTGTCTTGCTTTGCAGCCAAGAAGATTATCTCCAAGAGAACTCTGTAGAGGAGCTCTTTTCTGCAAAACACGGGGTTTCCATGAGTTAGAATCAATGGCAACTAACAACAGTAGTCATAGGATGACTGCATTGGCCAACACATTGGCCTCAAATGTTAGACTGTTTCTGGATATATTTGACCTGCTGGTTCCAAAAAAGCATCAGTTTTCCCCTTCTCACCTCTAGTTTTTGAGACACAGAATATATGCTGTATACTACTCTTCACTCTGCTCACCCATAAAAAAATCAAAATATTTTAATGTAGGGTTAGCTAGCCTTCGATAGAGGAAGTGTACACTAGCTTTATTTAAAGTAGTTTGTGCTGTACTAAATACTTAGGTCAAGTTATACTTTGCTTGGTGTCCTTTGATCCAACGATATATTTGAATGGTGCAAATTACATGAACTTGGAATGTTCCTCAAGTATCACTTCACCTTTATTAGAAACTGAATAGTAGCCAGTTCCAATTTTTTATCTTCAAGGAAGCCGGAAATGAGAGTTACTGTACAATAAGTAAAGAGCCCTAATGGCACAGTGGGTTGTATGCTTGACTGCTAACCACAAGGTCAGTTATCCAAGCCCATCAGCTGCTCTGCAAGAGAAATATGAGACTTTCTGCTCCCATACAGGTTTACAGCTTCAGAAATGCACAGAAGTTCCAATTTTTCTTATAGAGAAGCTTGGAGTCAACCTCAGCTCTGAAACATCTAATAGGAATTATCCATTGACTTTGATATATTAAAATGTGTTCTGAAATGTTTACTGCATAATTTGAAGAAAATCTAGATCTTTAAATTATTTGTGAAAATTGCAATGAAGTCTTACATTTTTTACAGTCTGAATTTCCCTCACACCTTCCATATATGTGTCTTTTCCGTTTTCTTTTTTATTTTCCACTCATCGTAAGCTGGGTTCTGGCTTTGCAAAACCCAACTTATAGTCTCTGTATGTATTGCACAGCATCATATTCAGAAACAAAAAAATCTGCCATCTAATTGATTCTAACTCCTAGTGACCCTATAGGAGAGAACTGCACCTTAGGGTTTCCAAGCCTTTAAATGTCTTAAAGGCATCAGAGTGACTACCAGGTTTGAACCACTGACCTTATGATTGGTAGTTCAATGTGTAACCAACTAGCCCTTGGAAGTCCCTTAATAGCAAATTATTTTTAAATTTTCTTACCTTTATTGTCTTCTTATATAATTTTTGGGTCTGACTTCTCATATTTAAAAGTAAGATGATAAATTAATAAATTAGTATGACTTAATAACTAAACATATCGTGGAATACCTTATCTAAGAAACTAGAGCTGGTGCAGTCTTATCAAATGCAATTTTCTGAATCAATGCCCTAAATAACCCCAGGAACAGGCCTAAAAATCATGAATACATCATTTATTAATTCTTATTCTCAGATGTTAGTTTTCCCATCTTCTAAAAAATTAAGCTAACGAGTGATTTATCAAATATCTCTGTGATCTACTTTCTGCTGTTTTATGTCCTTTTGTTGTTTGTTTAAAAGTCTGATAACACTAACATTCATTTCTCTTTCCACTACTAAATCCCTTTGCCTAAGTCTTATTTATTGCATAATGGAATTACTATATATTTCTTCAATTTTTCTCCACCTTCTCCCATTCCTACCCTGGTTGGTGGTGTTAGCGACTGTTGAGTAGCCCTTGACTCTTGAAGAGCACAGTGGGATTGAACCACAGTGATCCATCCACAGGGTTTTCTTTACCTGATTTTTCAGAATAGATCACCAGGCCTTTCTTCCTAGTTCATCTTAGCTCTACTGAAACCTGTTAAGCATAATAAAAACATGCAACTCCACTGATAGACAGGTGGCAGCTGCACTTCAGGTGCATTTATTGAAAATTAAACCTGGAACTTCCACATGAAGGTGAGAATTCTGCCACTGACCACAACTGCCTTCCACCCGTTAATCTTGCATAAAGTCTGAATTTCATTCAAAATGTGTTTTTTAACTTATTCCCCTTTTTATCAGTTCTTTCAATACCTATGCTCTTAATTCCTTAACATGAAATATTACTCTTCCATTTAGTTTTCCCATATTATCAACCTAAATTTGTTTGTGTATATTTCATTGATGTAATGAAGCAACTAGATCTGTGCCCTTTTCTCTCTAGGCCCATGAGTACTCAACCAAGAAATTCCACATACAGAGCACAGTTTGACTTCACTTCTGAGAGCACCAGAAAATATTGGGTTACAGACAGTAAACTATGGGTCATTGGCAGACATAGATTGCATTCTGTTAATAAATATTTTTAAGCAACTAGCCAGTATTCTAGACAAAGAATGTATCAATAACTATTAACTAGATGAGGTAGGAAATCACTTTTACTATAAAGGAAAGGTCTTTTACTGTATGAAATTTAAGCCAGTATGTAGAGCTTAACCAGTCAAATTTGATTCCATAGAACCATAATATCCAAAATAGTAACCACTTTGCTACATGAAGCTACTTAATTTTAGCTTGAAATTCAATCAAATTAAAAATCCAGTCTCTCCAGTGCACTAGCTACATTTCAAGTGCTAAATAGACACATATGGCTTATGTTCCATCAAACCCAAAAGTTCCCTTGGACAGTGTTGCTCTAGAGATACTGGAACCTATCTAGAAATTTTGTAACCTCTCTAAAATAAAAACTATTATCTTAGGACAATTTGGTTTCCTAAATTAGGAGTTGACCTGGATCCAGTAGCGACTAGATTTTTTCTTAGTTCCAAACAAATCTTAACACACATACATATACACACACACATATCCTAGATCACAAAAGTATACAGAAAAATTCTGGATTATAAGGCTTTGGTACCTATTTGTATATGTCTGTCCTGTCAAGGACAATTCCAATTGTATATCTGTTTTAAGAGCATGAAGCCGTTTCTACTCCCTTTTAACAAGTTTTGAAACCCATGTAATAATATTTTCAAGAGCTGGGAGGAAAAGGGCATTTATAGAGGTCTAGATAAAGACATGTACATATACAAATATATTTATATGAGGATGGGGAAATAGATCTATGAGCCTATATTTATAGGTTTAGTATTAAGGTAGCAGAAGGACATTGGGCCTCCACTCAAGTACTCCCTCAACGCAAGAATACTTCTATTAAATTGGCATTCTATGATGCTAGCCTTCCCGACACAACTGCTGAAGACAAAGTGGGCGAATAAGCAAATGTGGTGAAGAAAGCTGATGGTGCCCGGCTATCAAAAGATATAGCGTCTGGGTCTTAAAGGCTTGAAGGTAATCAAGCGGCCATCAAGCTCAGAAGCAACAAAGCCCACATGGAAGAAGCACACCAGCCTATGCAACCACGAGGTGTCGAAGGGATCAGGTATAAGGCATCATCAGAACAAAAAATCTTACCATCGTGAATGATGGGGGGAGTGCTGAGTGGAGACCCAAAGCCCATTAGTAGGCCACTGGAGATCCCCTTGCAGAGGGGTCTCGGGGAGGAGATGAGCCAGTCAGGGTGCGATGTAACAACGATGAAAAATACAACTTTCCTCTAGTTCCTAAATGTTTCCTCCCCGCTCCCACTACTATGACTCGAATTTGACCTTGCAAGTCTGGCTAGACCAGAGGATGTACGCTGGTACAGATAGGAACTGAAAATACAGGGAATCCAGGGCTGATGAGCCCTACAGGACCAGTGGTGTGAGTGGCGAAACAGGGAGGGTAGAGGGAGAGTGGGTAGGAAAGGGTACCAATTACAAGGAACTATATGTGACCTCCTCCCTGGGGGACGGACAACAGAAAAGTGGGTGAAGGGAGACGTCGGACAGGGCAAGATATGACAAAATAACAACTTATAAACTATCAAAGGCTCATGAGGGAGGGGGAAGCGGGGAGGGAGGGGAAAAATGAGGACAATGCGTCGGGGGGTTAAGTGGAGAGGAAATGTTTTGAGAATGATGAGGGCAATGAATGTACAAATGTGCTTTACACAATTGATGTGTGTATGGATTGTGATAAGAGTTGTATGAGCCCCTTATAAAATGATTATAAATAAATAATAAAAGCAAAAGATTTTTTAATAAAAAATATTTTCAAAAATAGAAATGTTATACATAGCTCACTTGTAATCTGTGCTTACCTATTCATTTCTATACACTGAACATTTAGGCTATATCACAGAGATTGTTTAATAGAGACTGAACTCTCAGAGCAAAGACCAATCCTTACTTGAGTTCTTGTTCCATCCTAGCTCTCACTTTAGAACACTAGAATTTTTTTTAAAAAATTTTAATGTTGCTGTCAACTAAATTTTAACATAACCCCCTCTCAAACAAAGTAGAACTCCCCCACAGGGTTTTCAAGACTGTAATCTTTACAGAATCTGTAATCTTCTACAATTGGGCTGCTAATCCACCAGCCACTCCACAGGAGAAAGATGAGGCTTCCTACTCCCATAAATAGTTACAGTCTTGGGAACCCACAGGGGCAATTCTGCCCGTCCTGTAGGGTCCCGATGAGTTGGAAACAGCTTAAAGGCACTGAGTTTGGTTTGGGTGTTTTGGATTACTCTTTATGAAAGCAGACTGCCCCACATCTTTGTCCCACAGAGTAACTGATGGGCTCTAACCACGGAACTTCCAAGCACTTAGCCACTGTGCTGCCAGGGCTCCTTCCTCTATCATTGGTAACACATATTCTGCAAGTATTTCGTAAATGTTGGTTGCTATTCTAGACTCATTTATCTATCCTAACTTATTCTCATTTTGTTGTTCATTCTCTCTGATCTATATTTTCTTTCTCTTTACTTAACAGACAGTATGGAGCATTCACTATTAAGACAATTGGGCAGCTCTAGTCCAGCTCAACAGATTTCTTTTCCAAAGATCCTTGTGTGACCAAGATCCAGCTCCAACGAATCGGCTAGAAGCTGCCCGTTGTGAAATTTAGGGTTAGTTAATACCTCACCATACTTAACTTATTCCAACTATAAATATTGTCTACATTTTATGAAATTTGCAGTTCTACAAAAATTTCAGCAGTATTACAAAATAATTTAGGTAGATATGGCATAATGATTCTTATATGTATTAATTTAACTATAGTGACATTTTCTATAACATTTTGTCCATTTCATAGATAATAACTATATTGGGAATAGTAAGGTGTCTTTCATTTTCTCTGTTGTGTGTTATTTATTTTCTTCACATATTTAGATGTTATGTTTTATATTCTTTAATAGTTTCATATTTAGAATAAGAATCATTTCTAATTTGAGTGAATTTTGTCTTATGTTCATGCCTTTTAATATACAGTTTACTATTTAATGTTAATTTAGTTCTCCCACTTTGCTTTGAGATTCTATTTTGTTATTTAATGCTTTTGACTTATTTTTTACTAGTTTGTTACTGCTCCTCAGTAATTTTGATCCTGCCATAACTTTTATAATTCAAATGTATTTATACTTTTTATAATATTTCCCAAATAATAGGAATCCCATCAACATTGTCAATATTCTTGCCTTTGCATATGTTCAACTTTTTTTCTCTAAGTTTTGAGATAATATGGGGATCTTCTTACAACAATACATCTTAGTACCAAATTGTATATAATTTGGGTACCAATGATTAGTGGAATTGTTTTTTATTTTTTTTAAAATGGACTCACTCTGACATGTCAGTAACATTAACCAATATTGATCTGTGCTAATGTTCTTTAAATGCTTTAGTCCTATGGCCTATTCTTATGTTAGCAATATACCCAATTTTATGTTCTTAATTTTAAAAGGAAATAGCCTAAAAAAATTTCTCTTTCTTTCTTACTCCAACTTTAGCATCTAAGTATTATTATTATTTCTGCCAAATATGGAATACAGTTGGTTAAATGTACAAATATTCATTTATAGTTTTTTAAAATTATACCTGGGTAAATGTATAAATAAATATTCAGCATAAATAATAATACTTAGACCCTGAAGTTATCCTTGGTGAGTAAAACTGGGTGTTTTCTTGGAAATTACAATGAGTATGTTTCCCAGTTAAAAGGTTTCATAAGAACAGTAGGATTATATGAATGTATACTAGCATACAAAGAACCTTTGTGTATTAATTATTCTCAGGTTTTAGACATTTCAGTAGACTATTATGTCCCACAATGAACTTTCAAAGTTTTTATTCTATAAGTAAAAATTATTAACCACTGATGTTAAAAACCTTCCTTTAATATAACTATCTTTTAGAGCAGAAAGTTAATGCTTTTATCTTCAAATTGTTAAACACAATGCTAAACAAATCCTGAACTGTTAATAAAAATTAATGATATTTAGAATTTTGCTAATTGATATACAAGTATGCTTTCACAGAGCTCTATAAATTATATATATAATGTATATATGCATATATACTTACTTAGAATTTAACTTTATTTGAGAAACTAATGAAACTTTGGAATTTACTGACAACCTTAATATAGGAGGATAACCAAAAAGTATTGCTATTAGGCAGCCACAAACCTGACTTAGTCTCGGTAGGGTATCTTCAAAAACTCTGATTGCAACTGTTTTTTCAGGGAATTAACTTGGACAGTTAAATTTAAGGCAAGGAGGTCAGCTTAAGAGATTATAACAACAGCTTTTTGGAATGTCAAAGAGGTAATCTTGAAGGATTTTCTCAAAGGACAAAGAACAATTACAGGGGCCAACTTATATGCAAGGAAGTTTGGGGGAGGGTTTATTAATTGGGAGTTAATACATATATCATCCATAGTTCATTCATATCAAGCAGAGTTGTACAACTGCTACCACAGTTTCCAAACATTCTTTTTCTTCCTGGATTCCTTGACATAGTCTCCCTTTTACCCACCCCCACATTCCCACCCCCCACCCCCACCACTGTACCAAGTTTTAAGATCTTTGAAAACTTCATTGGTGAGGAAAAGGTCAGGACATTTTGCCCAGGAACTCTTTTCTATCACAACTCACCTGGCCGTTCTGTGAGGGCATCAAAGGCCATTTCCCTGGGAAAATGTACACACCCTCCCGATGGCCATGACTGTGCCCTTTCTGATGTCTTTCTTCCCAGACTCAAAGAACATTTAAAAGTAACGCACTTAACTCCTCACACTTAAGTAGCAAATACTGCCATGCTCACATGGTGGGAATCAAAGAGCACAGGATTCTTCTGGGAAGTGGTAGAAACACCACCTTCAGAAATGGATAGACTTAAAACATGAAAGGTTTGTCAAGCAAGCATCGCTTCACATTTTGCTATTTTTATGTAATAAAGTTTCTATGATTTTTGTAGCAGTACTTTTTTTACTAATTCTCCTGTAGGAAGATAGAGTCAAACCTTTTTCATGTCTTAGCTAGAGGCCAAAACCTGTTATTCAAACCAATTGTTTGGAAAGAAGAAAGTCTCCTTGCTAAGTGAAGTCCACTGGACGCACTGTTCTCCTTTGTAGTATACATTCTATAGATTATTTTTAAACATAGCTTTGTACTTAACACACACTTTAAAATGCCACTCTGAAGATATTATCTTAAATTCACTGTTAGAGTTTCTTAAAATATGGATGATACAAATAATGGCCAAAGTCACAAGGCAATAACTTTGCAAGCTTTCTGCCCAAAATTTCTAATTATTTTGAGATAGAAAGATGGTTGTGTGTCAAGAGAGAAAAACTATTGGAAAACTGAGAACTTAATTTCCTTTATCAACTGATTTCTTGGAAAAATGTATAATTTAGTCTTTTATGGCAGATTACTTTTGAACATTTTTGCCCAAAAAGGCAGTACAATATTTTCAAACAAATTAATAACTCTCATATGTAACAGTCTTTCCTGGATCTGTGCCATGTTTAATCATAAAATAATGATTTTGGTCATGCACACAAATAAATGTGTGTCTCTACAAGAAACTGGTTTGGATAATATTAATATATACTCAAAAGACTGAACAGGAGACTCGACCAGAAAACACTTCTAAAGGTCAACAAATATACTTTGAACTGTTTATAGGCTTTGTGGGGTTTTTTGTCGTTGGTTTTTGTTGTTTTGTCTTCTTTTGTTGCTTTGTTTTGCTCTGTCTTATTTTTGTGCATATTATTATCTCTGCACGTCTATCTAGATAAGATAGATAGGATAAACAATCTGAAGGGGAATACAATGGGACTGACCGTTGGGGAGGCATGGGAGAGAGAGAGGAGGCAGAAAGAAAGTGGGGGTTAACAAATCAAGGGACAAGGGAACAATAAGTGATCTAAAATCGATGGCAAGGAGGGTATAGGAGGCGTAGGATTGATCAAGGGCAATGTAACCAAGAGGAATTACTGAGCATGATAGTGGGACAAAAGGAAAGTAAAAGAAAATAGAGGAAAGAAGTAGGAAGCAAAGGGCATTTATAGAGGTCTAAATACAGGTATGTACATATGTAAATATATTTATATATGACGATGGGGAAATAAAGCTATGTGCATATATTTATAGGTTTAGTATTAAGGTAGCAGATGGACATTGGGCCTCCACTCAGTTACTCCCTCAATGCAAGAACACTTTGTTCTATTAAACTGGCTTTCCATGATGCTCACCTTCCCGACTTGATTGCTGGAAGACGAAGCAGGTGCATGAGCAAATGTGGTGAAGAAAGCTGATGGTGCCCAGTTTTCGAGCGTATGGCATCTTAAAGGCTTGAAGATAAACAAGCGGCCATATAGCTGAGAAACAACAAAGCTCTCATGGAAGAAGCACAGCAGCCTGTGTGATCACGAGGTGTCGATGGAATCAGGTATCAGGCATCAAAGAACAAAAAATCATATCATCGAGAATGAGGGCGAATGCAGAGTGGGGACCCAAAGCCCATCTGTAGGCAACTGGACATCCCCTTACAGAAGGGTCGCGGGGAGGAAATGAGCCAGTCAGGGTGCAATGTAGCTACGATGAAACATACAACATTCCTCTGGTTCTTAAATGCTTCCACCCCACCCCCACTATCATGATTCCAATTCTACCTTACAAATCCGGCTAGACCAGAGGATGTACACTGGTACAGATAGGAACTGGAAACACAGGGAATCCAGGACAGATGAACCCCTCAGGACCAGTGGTGAGAGTGGCGATATTGGGAGGGTGGAGGAAAGGTGGGGTAGAAAGGGGGAACCGATTACAAGGATCTACATATAACCCCCTCCCTGGGGGACAGATAACAGAAAAGTGGGTGAAGGGAGATGTCAGACAGTGTAAGACATGACAAAATAATAATTTACAAATTATCATGGGTTCATGAAGGAGGAGGGGAGGGGGAAAATGAGCTGATACCAAGGGCTTAAGTAGAAAGAAAATGTTTTGAAAATGATGATGACAACTTGTGTACAAATGTGCTTGACAATGGATGGATGGATGGATTGTGATAAGAGTTGTACGAGCTCCCAATAAAATGATTTTTTTAAAAACAACAACCCTCAGAACCAATATTGAGAGTAGCCACACCAGGAGGGGCAGGGGAAGGGGAAGGTGAGGGGATATAGGGGGAACCGATCACAGTGATCTACCTATGACCCCCGCCCAGGGAAATGGACAACAGAAAAGTGGGTGAAGGGCGACATCGGTCAGTGTAAGACATGAAAAAATAATTTACAAATTATCAAGGTTCTTAAGGGACAGAAGGAAGATGGGGAGGGAGCAGGGGGGAAAAATGAGAAGCTGATACCAAGGGCTCAAGTAAAAAGAAAATGTTTTTAAAGTGATGATGGCAACGAGTGTACAAATGTGCTTGACACAATGGATGGATGGATGGATTGTGATATGAGTTGTACGAAACTCCAATAAAATGATTTTTTTAAATTTTTTAAATAACCCACCCCACCCTCCCCCCAAAAAAGACTGAACTGGACGTTAGGAGAACTTTCAATCCAACTTTGATACTATGCTTTTATAGTCCTTGTGTGATAAATACTGAA